GTCAATCATAAGTTTGATTTATTCGGCAGCCATTTATAATAGCGATAAATCAATCTTATGATTGGCCATTTGCGTGTCCAATCAGGACTCGTAACACCGGTCGCGCTTCTCTGATAATCTAGGACTCTAGCTACTCCTAATTGTCCGTCGAAAACTGACACGGGCGGTGAGGCAGTCTCTCTCCAGGTGGTCCGCGCTCCCGACTCTGCACTCGACGTGCTGTGGGACTATAGGAAGCGCGGACCATGGATAGAGATCGCCTCACAAAAATATAATTCTTATTTTTAAAAAGTCGTTAAAATATGCAAGCAAAAAATATTTCCAAGAAAAATATGCTGTAGTTAATTTTTTTTATTAAGAAAATACAAAAGTTTCTTAAACCTAAATATTCGTAGCAAAAATGAATATAAGGTAACGTCTTCGCAAATATAATATAATTAACGGAAATAAAATTGTTTAAGAAACAAAACAATTGATAATAGTATAAGACTGAAATTATAAAAAGAGTCAATGAAATAATCAAATATGTAACTGTTTAATATAAATGAGTGATAACGTAATGGAGCGCCAGTGTGGCGCGACAGACAGCGCACTAGTCTGTCATACCATAGGTCCCGGGTTCGATTCCCGGTGTTAACGTCTGTGGTTTTTTCCGTACTGTTATCGAATATTGTGATGACAGTGACATAAAAGTGAGATAAATGATAATCAAGTCATATAAGTCAGTCTCTGCGTAAGCAGAGAGGATCCGTAAGTCTTCGCAAAAATAATATTATAATTAACGGAAATAAAATTGTTTCTTAAACAATTTGAAAATAGTAGACTGAAATTTATAAGTGACAATTTCAGTTTTTGATTAACGCTTTCGCGGTGTTAACGTCTGTAGTTTTTTCCGTATTATTGTCGATTTGTTTTGTTTCCGAGTGTTAAATTAGATCCACTTCTTCAGAGGGCGAGGATATTTTAGCGTTACAGCCAAAGGACGGCATGTCCCGCTCTCGGATCCTCTCTAATAGTACGGTGACGGTTGAACGTTCAACCGCCAATTGTTTCAAGCGCACTTACGGATCCTCTCTGCTTACGCAGAGACTGGACTTATATGACGTGATTATCATTTATCTCACTTTTATGTCACTGTCATCACAATATTCGATAACAGTACGGAAAAAACCACAGACGTTAACACCGGGAATCGAACCCGGGACCTATGGTATGACAGACTAGTGCGCTGTCTGTCGCGCCACACTGGCGCTCCATTACGTTATCACTCATTTATATTAAACAGTTACATATTTGATTATTTCATTGACTCTTTTTATAATTTCAGTCTTATACTATTATCAAGTTTTGTTTCTTAAACAATTTTAT